ACATAATTCTGTGTATCAGTTTTTGATTTCGATGAATGGTGTTGCCGTTGGTACTAAAAATAGAAATTTCTGTAAAAATCATTCAAAATGGTACTTCTCCTACAGTTTTGGTCTGATTTCAATATAACTTGGCACACAAGTAGACTCACTAAGACACATAATTCTCTTTATCGGTTTTTGATTTCGATGAACGGTGTTGCCGTGGTTACTAAAATAGATTTTTTTGAAATGCATTCAAAATGCTACTCCTCCTACAGTTTTGATCTGAATTCAGTATAACTTGGCAAACAAGTAGACTACAATAAGATACATACTTCTATATATCTGTTTTTGATTTCAATGAACGGTGTTGCCGTTGTTACTAAGAATAGAAATTTCTGTGAAAATCTTTTAAAATGCTACTCCTCCTACAGTTTTGGTCTGATTTAAATATAACTTGGCAAACAAGTAGACTGCACTAAGATACATAATTCTATATATCGGTTTTTGATTTTGGTTAATGATGTTGCCTTGGTTACTAAAAATAGAAATATCTGTGAAAATCTTTCAAAATGCTACTCCAAATACAGTTTGAGTCTGATTATAATATAATTTGCCATGCAAGCAGACTACACTGAGATACATGATTAACAGTTTTGTGTTTATGATTTTGATGATTTATGTTTCCATAATAATTTAAATTGAAAATTCAGTAAAATTTTATTAAAGGCTACTCCTACAGCAGTAGTCTTATTGCAATCTTGCCTCAAAAAGAGACTTAATCAAGGATCATTATTCTGTTTATTGCTTTTGTAAAGTTTTAAGTCCCATCTGCTACTTTTCTTTTCTTTATTATACCGGTAAGTACAAACCAGTAGAGCTACAGTCTCGACAGAGACTTCTGGTTTATATTTATAAAGAGTTTTGCCTTTTTAGCAAAATTTTATAGAAAACTTTCATATGTTCCTGTTTGCATATCAAGATAGTAGGGAAAGTAAATTGTTGCATGTTTTCTGAAACACCCTGTACTTATCGAATTCGATATGAAAAAAAATCTTGAGTTTCTGATCGAGAATATCTATGTATTTTTTTTTTTAAATACAGTCCTCCGACAGTCCATCAGAATTCTCATGGGTACAAAATGCGGCCCTTTAGCAGCACTGGCGGATTTAGAGGGGGACCAGGGGCCCGTTCTCCCCTTTTGAGTCCAAAAAATACACACTATTTGATAAATCTACATGTATGTTTTTTGGTGTGACCGTGGGTCCCTTCCCTGACCTCAAACTGGTCGCCCCCCCCTCCTTTTCAAACTTTCTGGATCCACCAACGAGCAGGTCTACTCTTGTATCCATGGGGAAGGATTGAGATATAATTACTGTGAGTATTCAAAGGTCTGATCCCACCTCTGCTTTTTTGGTAGAAGTCCATGATAAATCTGCTCCCAGTTTAACTAGAAAAAAAAACGTACTACTTTTGTTGGTAATCAAACAACTGAATTTCAAGAAAAACATGATGAATTCAGATTTCCTATCGTTATAGCTTCCTCCCTTGTTCAGCAATTGATATTCCCTTATCACCTGTATATGGGGTTGATATCTACTATTCCCACAGGCATCTGACGTTACTTATTTCTTTTAATAAAAAAAAAAACATACCCATACCTTAGTCTAATAATATTATTAGGTAAGGGTACATATTTTTTTAATTAAAAGAAATAAGTAACGTCAGATGCCTGTGACTATAGCTGTATTTTAGGAAAAAAAAAATCTTGTTAAAAATATTGTTCAATAAATGGTATATAGGCTCAAACTGGTCAATACTATCGATATAATATTGGTTTTATTCGCATTTAAAAATGAGTAAGAGTACATTTGCTGCTATTTATACAATTATTGACAAATGTAGATTCCGTAAGTTGATATATGTATATTTTGAGAAATGTTTTTCACTTGTACTGTAAAATCTCCAGGAGAAAATAGCAGGCAATAATATCTTGTTTCAAAACCTTAGGAAGGAGTCAATGAAATATTCATTAAAAAGCAGCTGGATATATAACTTTGATAAAAAAAAAACTCTGTATATTTAAATTAATTTTTCATGAGATTTCATTTAAATTTCTTTTTTTAAAGGTAATATTAAAAAAACAAAACGTGAATTGACCAATCCTGAGGAGAATGCTAACTTTAGAATAAACGACTTCCCATACACATGATATAGTTGACTGAGCGACCTTAATCGTGAATCTATTCTTAAAAAGTCATCCTTCAATATGATCGACGAATGCTGACCTTCAAGAAGAAATAAAAGATACATTTCTCTTCATTGCATAGAGTACAAACATTGTACAACTAAAACAGAACAATGGTCGCCTGTATAATGGAGACAGCGACCTAAGGAAATTCACGCTTCATTGCTCAGCCTTAGCCATTCACACTTGATTGCCCTTCTTTTGTGTTTTACACTTAATTGTCCCGCTTTTGTGTTTCACGGTCTATTCTTGTCATCTGTCATCTATTCATCACTACCTCAAATCAATCACATGACTGTCATGTGACTCCATATTCGTCTTAATTTCATTTTCCTTCTTTTTCACGGGATTTTTAACACGACTATTCCAGAGGTAGGATTTATATAAGTATTGTCAGATTATTTACTTTTGTTGGTTATCGTTCGACTAAGAATAAAATTAAATTGTGAAATTTCTTATTTTAATTAGTATGATAAATAAAATACAAGTTTTTTTTTATATTCCAATGACACGACTCAAAAGATTTTGATATGTAATGGTCTATATTAGGTACTTGATACTTAGTAGACAAAATTGAAAATTTTAAGTTTCTTTTTCTTTTATTTATAATTTTTAAACAATCCTCTGATGTTTGAGTTATATTTCGAAAAATGCCTTATATAAATCACAACTCACCGGAATCGGTTTTAAAGAAAATTTTGTATTTTCCTCATAAAGTAAATATTTTCAATGACAAAAGCAAATTTTCACCACCGAGGGGTAAATAAGCATTAGCTAGGAAATACGAAATATGCCCCCCCCCCATCCTTTCATTACTAATCAAAATGTCGGAGTAATCAGTTACAAATAAATGTTATAACTTTACAAAGTAAAATAAGTGAATAATTTTATCAGTTACACAATATGATTATCGCCTGATTTCCTTCTGCATTAAATTAATACATAAAATTCCCTACGCCCTTTGTTAAACCTCATTAAATCAATAATATGCCGCATGAATAAGACATGAAACTGATACAAATGACATTTTGAACTTGATCATCATCTTTTGATATCAATAGACTATAGACAATAGTTTAGTCTCATTAATTATATAATAGTGTTGTGTTTTGCGTGCACTATGCCTAAATAGTAGTCAGGGTTTGACACATGGTGCACGAGCCGGAGGTGACTACTATTTAGGCATAGTGCACGCAAATCACAACACTATTGTTATTATTATGCTGACTGTTGTTACTGTATAAAAACGGCAATATTTTTTTCATTCCGAATGTTTCATTACCTGTAACATTCGTCTACTCTATTATGACGTCACCTTATGCAACATGTACGTCATAATCTTTTTCTTTAATTTTGAACGTTCCATGCTTTAGGTATAATCTACAGATAGTTTTAGAGAATATTATTTGAGTGAAGGAAGGGATTTGCAAGAAACTATTTTAGAAGAATTATTTTGTTTATTTTTAATTTTAATTATAAAATATTTGAAACTAAGTTTATATATATTATAGTACAATAATTCAGATAACGGCGTCGGTGGCGTAATCGGTAGCGCGTCGGACTGACAATCTCGGGGTCGTGAGTTCGCTCCCCGGTATGGGCGTTGTCGGATTTTCCTCAAAAATGGAAGCCGTGCACTATTTCGGCATAGTATGCTTACGCTATATAAATCCTTAGAACACTATGCGAGAATAGTAGGGTATGGGTTATATAGAGACAATCTGACAGGAAGCATAATAATTGTACACACAGTGAAGAGAGAATATTACATAAAATATTTACAATTTACGAAACCATCCATCAAACCCCAGGGCTGGATAAGAGATGTAATATCAACACAGTTTTGTATTAAAAAAATATCTTGAAATTAAAAAAAAAGGAAAGGTAATTATTTTTTTTTAAACTGAACAAGCAGTGTAGTTGCTATAAAAATTTAAGTCAGTTTAGCTCTTAACATGTAAAGTACGGTATGTACGAGTGTTATTTCAAAAGGTAACATTTGGTTTTATTTAGAAGGGAAATAAATAGCATGCTTTATTATTTTTTTTATCAATTAGCTGCATGTATAAAATTTTCACGCGGGGATCTGAACTCAGGAACAAAGGAGTAAGTGTATCTATCTTCCTACGACTCTTAATACATGTATATCTCCCACGTTATGCCAAAAAATGTCTATCCTTTCTGCACAAAGATTTCCGTATTACTTCGTTATACACTATCTGTCATGATAACACCGATCTCTCTCTCTTTTTTCTCTCTCTCTCTCCCCCTTTCTCTTTATCCCCCCTCTATCTATCCCCTTCTCTCTCTCGCATGAAAAAACAGCTTTACAAAATAAGTAAAGGTTTTGTAAATTTAATATTTACAATGCCTTTATACTCCTTTACTGAAAAAAGGCAAAGTTCTTAAAGGTGACCTTTACATCAACTTTACAGGTCCTTAAAGGTAATGTAATGTCCCACTTTTTCTTGACTTTACAAAAAAGTAAACTTTACATTTAATTACATTAAATGTATAATTTAATTACATTAAATGTATGATTTAATACAGATTAAATTAAAAAATTACATAATGTAAATATATTAAAACAACACCTTTAATGAATTGTAAAGTTGAAATTTTGTTTTGTAAAAGGTCATATTTTTACTATGAAATATATTCATTAATTCCATGTGATACATGGTTTAATTCCATTTCAGAGCCCACATCCTATACATTGTAATCCCCATACAGCTGTAAAATATGCAAAAACCACAAAAATTCAAGATCCATTTATCATTTTAATGCAAAACATATATAAATCAGCACAAAATTCATTAACTATTTAATCAAAAATCCAATTGAATTCCTCATCAACATCAGGTTTGTCTTGTTCCTTAATGGAACCCTTTGTCCTTTTTTGAAGCAGTCTGGCACTTCGCGGGGGGCAATTTTTCAAATATGTCTTGTCCAGACTACTTTTAATGTTTCTCCAAGTTTCACTCTCCCAGGAGTATGGATGGGTGATGAAACCGTCATCCCCTTCTTCATCACTGGACATCAATTTATGGCTCATTTTGCTTTTTAGCAATTTGGAAACTGCTTCTCTTTTTTCTTGAGGCCAATTTGTTTTCTTTTCTGTAGAAAGCAGTCTTCTTCTGACCTTCTGAATTAGGGACAAAAAAAAAACAATATGGTCAGTGCAATCAAAACAACTTTCTGAGATGATTTTGATGTATTCTTTGATTTACCCTGAATGTTATATTTGCTTTTTTTACAGCCTGTTATGCATCATTTATTAGGTGTGTCTATCCATGCATCTAATTCATAATGTACTGTTGTAACACTGACAAATCATCACTGAGGTCAGCATGTTGGAGACAATAAATTGAAAATTCAGAATCCAAAGTAGCTAAATTCTTGAGGACTTTTTTTCTTGAATGAATTTATTTTCATTAAAATTATTTAGGACATTCCTTTATAAATGTAGATCTTTCCTTCAAATGGCAGACCAGCATTCCAATGAAGCAATAATTCAAGTTCTGATGAAAATTTGTATTGAAACAGTTTTCATTTATGGGGATATCTAAATATTTCATGGCTGACTTAACTAATTTGACTTTTAAATATTTAAGTTTTAAAAATGATCATATAATTAATTAAATGCCTTAACAACATCAAGTGTTGAGATTTAGGATGAGTCTTTTGATCATGATCAGTCACTTTTCAAAAATACTCTGAAAGAGGATGCAACAGGTACTTTTCATTATTGCTAATTTAGATATATAAAACTGACTATAAAATCAGAATAAAATTGCAGAAATATATGAATTACTTACAGTTCTACGAAACAAATTAACTCATTTTGTCAGTTCTCAATTATCCATTAAAAATTATGCAAATTGTATTCCTTATAAACAGACAGTATCATTGAAATTACAAAATTTTGTCCTATGAAAATATTAAGGTTTACAGAATAAATAAATTAAAACTGATGTACCTCCTTTTTCCTTTCATATGTAGCCTGCCGTTGCTTATGAAGAGTGTCCTTGTTCTTGGATTTTCTGTTTGCTCCCTCTTTCTTTGAAGTGAAATATCTCTTAACAGCAGCTAAATGTGAAATAAAGTCAATGATTATATATGTACCTTAAATTTTATTATTACTCTATGTAAAATGAAGGGGGATGAGGGTATGGTCATGATTAGGACACAATTTAGAATCTACCCCACCCAAGGATGCTTCCACATAATCAGTCTCTCTTGCCCAGTGTTTCTTGAGATGAAGATTTAAAAAAATGTTTCTACCTACTTAAATGTAAAACTTGGATTTTCTATATGTGCCCAATTTTACCCCTGGGGATCATGACTTGAATATTATAGAATTCACACAACCATAGAGTGCTTCCACATAAGTTTAAATTTCAGCTTTTCTGGCCCAGTGGTTTTTGAGAAGAAGATGTTTTAAAGATGCCACCCTATATTGTCTTTTTCTTGATTATCTGCCCTTGGAAGGGGGCTTGTCCTATTTTCTTAATATAAACTCTCCTTTACCCAAGCATGCTTTTTTCCATTTTTTGGTAAAAATTATAGCCAATTCATTCTTGTGAAGAAGTTAATTAAGCAGATATTGAGATCAGTAAACCTTAAGCTATCGGATCAGGTGAGCTAAAAAGGGACCAAAGGAGCTAAAAAAAACTCATTCAGCCCCTTTTCTAAGTTATGCTTTTCAATCAAATTTGAGTAAAAAACCATAGATGTATTAACAATACTTGCCATCCAGAACCTCATTGGAAACGTCCGGAGCAACACCTTTGACTTTTCTTTTGATGAATTCTGTCATCTCTGCATTCACTTCATCATAGTACCTGTATATTTAAATAAAGAATATTTTCAGACCAAATATCATTTCTTCTTCATATCATGTAAGAAACATCTTTGCTTTTTGGATTATTTTCTCAATAGATCAAATTATTTGAAATACTTATAAAACAATATGACTATAATATCAGTTAAATCTATATTTATATGCACTGAATATTTTTTTCTTTATTTCTTATGAAGACCATTGCCATTTATCAGTGCATAAATGACAACTAAACAGGATTTTTAAAAGTTGCTATTAATTTTTCATTAATTCATAATTATCTCCCTTTGGAAGAGGGCATGGCCCTTCATTTGAACAAACTTGAATGCCCTTCACCTAAGGATAGTTTGTGGCATGTTTGGTTGAAATTGGCCCAGTAGTGGTTCTTGAGGAGGAGATGAAAATGTGAAAAGTTTACGACACCGCCGACAACAACAAAAGACAATGGACAAATTTTGATCAGAAAAGCTCACTTGAGCCTTGGCTAACAAGGCTCAGGTGAGCTAAAAATGTCTTTGTTAATACAGGTAATTAATGTCACAGCTATTGCAGAAAAAACACATAAGCCGCTTATGCAGGTTATGTATTTTTTTTTTTTTTTGCACTGGCTGCAACATTAATTCCTGTACTTATAATGAAAGAAAGTATTTTATTATTTTAGTTTTTGCGTGCAATTTTTACCTTTTCTGGTAATCCCACTTTAGCTCTATATCTTCTCCACTAGCAAAATATTCCTTCACTGCAGTCTGTGAATAAATTGTCTGTATAAATGTCTTTTTAATGTTCTACTATATAGATACACATATATTGATACTTATATCCATGAAATTTAAACTTTGATAATTTTCATTCAAGCAAAAAAAAAACAATTCTTGATGCATGTAATTATATTACTCTACTTTTACCTGTTAGTTGGCTTACATGTTACACATGTTTCAAAATTTATGTTTGTAAGGAATTGTTTGCATATGCTAAAAAATATAATCTTTCTTCTTTATAACACAAGATATTAAATAAAACCTTACCCTGATTCTGTTAGGAACACTGATGGGTTCATGAGATTCTTCTTTTCTCTTGTCAAACTCTTTCTGCAGATCATTTACTTCTTTTCTCACCAACTTGACAGTTGAAAGGATTTCCCTCTGATTGTTCAGAATATTTGTCAGTTGTCCTTGAATACTCTTGCCTTATTCAAAATTGTTTTATGTGTAAGTTTAAGCACTTCAAATATTATCAAGCAGTGTAAGAATAAAAGAAAAAAGCATTTGATTTGGGTTTTTTTTATATAATGTATTCAAAATCCTCAAATATGTTAAAATTTTAGTACTTATATAATCATAGATCTTTTTTTGAAAGGTTAAGTCTTACAGCATGATTTTCTTTTTACTTGTGAATGTACTTCACCTGTACAGGTTTTAAATATATAATTTAAATGCTTTACCACTGCTTTTCATAACATCTGGTGACACAGCATTAGTTGAAACTTGTGAACTTCCAGATCTTCTAACTAGCTGTGTATTCTGCAAGATATTGGGAATAAATGATATTATTGTTTTACCATATGATTCAATGATTAAATGATACAGCTCATTTTTTGTTGGCATTTGATGAAGTTCTAACCGATTAGAAACAGAGAAGCAGAGTTACAATGTACATGTAAATAAACCTTATCTGCAGTTACAGTATCATTTTGAAATGTTTAAAATCTATTTTAGTTGCTATGAAAGAAAGAAAAAATAATAGCAGGCTTTTTTGTATGTTACATTTGAAAGGAAGTATGATTATCAGGGAGAGAAAAGACATCTTAAAAAAAGGAAGTTTGTTTTTTTTTTAGAAAAGGTAGGAGGGGGGGGGGCAATCACAGAATATGCTAATCAGCTGTGTATTCTGCATATTTTAAAGAAAAATAATGAGTATTAATTCATTTAAAATCATTGTAAAACTGACTGTATAAACATCATCTTATCCTGATATCTAAAAGAAAAAATAATCGGGATATTGATATATCGCAATACAATTTTTTTGGCGATATCACTCTCTAATACATAATATAGTGACTACCAATAAGTACCTCGCAGTTATCTAACTTACTACCGCTCTATTGCGGGGGAGTTGAAAAAGGTTCTGGGGCAAATGACTAATTTCTGGGGCAAATTTAATGCCAAAATCACAATGTTTTGCCAGATATTGAACCCTAAATAGTAGATTGTCAGATGAGGAAAGTTTAGAATATTTTATCTGCTATAACATGTGATGATTTTCAATGAAAATTAAACGAGGGGTCCGCTTCATTGAAAATATCGTTAAAAATGTAAAAATTTAGGATTGGCTCCTCTCAAAAAATTATCAGGCTGTTTCAGGGATTGTTTAGCAAGGTATTCCATCAGGTTTTTTTTTAACTTATCTGTCCTTATCAATGCTACAACGATCGATCTTGCATTGTGTTAAATAGCACATTTGCCCCCACCGAACAGATGTTTCCTACTTCCATCGCGAAAGAGTTCCGTTAAGTTAAGTAATAGCGATATCAAGTATTTACATGACAGGCAATGCAAAAACCTTATAATACATCCACCTCTTGAAATAAAAATTAACAGAACAATTTCCCTTCACCGTGCTTGACATTCTAGTTGGACACACTCATCCACATACCTGGTTCGCATTTCTTGCTGGTGTATGGATTTCTGTATCAGGGGCATCAATTTCTTGATCAGATCTATGAATCATTTGCTCTGTTCTGTTTGCTTTTTGTTGAGCCGTTTTCCTAGGTGATCTTCTCATGGGTCTAGCACCAGATTTCTAAATACATTTAGCAAATAATTTTAACTACCTGATATCAGTAAAACATTTGTAACATAGTAAGAAAAAAATGGCATTGTTCATACCTCTTTAAAACAGTAAACTTGGTGATAAATTTAGCGTAATAGTAATAAATATATTAATTAAAGATTAATTTCAGATGATATTATACCATTATGGACTCTTTTGGTGTTGAATATGGTTTGTTATTCACCAGGAAAATATTCATATTGACCGAGGCGAATATTCAATATTCATAATTGTAAGCCTGTATAGCAGCCCATTGGCATACTAATATAATAATTGATATTCCTTACAATGACAATGAATCATTCTGATTCCTAAAAGAATATCCCTACTGGGCTAGGTAATCTCAGTAAAATTATTGATAAATCAGGGAAATACAAAAAAAAAGCAATTGAATGAGATTGACATGTTGTGATAAGAATTTAAAATAACCATCCAGAAAAAAATATTTTAAGGTCAGATGAGACGTTCCTCAATATCTGTTTTGTATATCTTCTTAATATATGAAAAATATTTAAAATTTACAGAACATTCTGATTTTTAAAACAGTTTTTAAATGATTTTTAACTTTTTAAAAAATCCAAACTCTTCAACATTTGAAACCGGAAATAATTCTTTTTCTCCAAAAAGGACTATATAAGAAAAACTACACCTGGTATCTTGCAGAAATTCCTGGTAAGGTACCTAAATTTTTTTGTGAGTAGACACGTAGCAATACTTCAATTACAAACTCTTGGAAAACATTAAGGAACGTTTCGTCTGTCCTTAAATGTTTTTATATATACATGTACATGTAATTTATAGATTGATAGTATGCACATACTGGTAGACTTTTATTAGTATTGGTCAATACCAAGGGTTCATCATCAGATTCTTCATCAGATTCTTGCAAAACCTGCAACATGTGGCTTAATGGAATTCTTGTCCTTTTTCTTGGTGATCGTCGAGGTGTTGTAATCATCTGTAAACAAAACAGAACCAAATTAACTTTAAGGATTGTTGCTCAAGACAAAATGGTACAAGATCATAGCTAATAAATAGTCTCTAATAAAATACTACCAAAATCTAGAGAATTTTAATGTTCAATATCTTGTCGTTTTATTGAACGCTAACTTTGTATTATGAATATGATTATGCCCAAAACATTCCAAAGACAAGCGTTCAATATCCAACGGTAAACAAAAAGTTGGTCAAATTCGGTCCGCTTGCATACTTGCTACACTAACATCTAACAACATCCCTTAGAGGGTCACGTCAAAGGTCAAATTCGAAACACCTCAAGACTTATTAGATTCGATTACGTCAACAAATATGCGATGATTTCGCAGCGACAATTTGATTGGTTGATAGATTTTGAACTCTGACGTGACCCTTGATCTATGTGAGCGTAAGATGTGTAAATTAAAGAAAGGGAGTTTTTTTGTTTATTTTTCACACAAATATGAAATTATTTATTAAAATATAGTATGTATTAGACCCATTAAAACCTAAATAAGCAAATCATATCGCACGGTAGGGTCATCAGAATGATGCGATATTGAACGCTAACAGGACAGAGTCAGACATCAATTTGAATACCGTTACTGAAAAATCATTAATCTGAGGGTTTTTTTGTTGGAATAATTATTATAATTTACGTGGAAATGTTTTAGCTATATACATGTAATAAAGGAGTTATTGAACTTATATTGAACTTATATACTCGTTGGCTGTTCAAATGCACTCGCAATTAAAAAAAAATAAATTTCCCTCACTACTTTGTCTTCAGGTGGCAATTCCAAACAAACATTATTTTTTAAGGATGGCATTATTTGACAGAAAAATAATTCAATAAAACAATTATATTGCTGACATTTTATATAAAGATGGCATGACATACACATCTTAAAAGCACTTTGTGTAATTATATTATTAGTAATTACATTTAATATTATATAGTCTATTTATAGTCCCTTATATAATCTATACAAACGCAAACAGTTCATATCACTACTTATTCACCAGATTTTAGGCCCTATTCAACGGAGGGTCAATGCGCGTGCAGCGACATTGTGACGTCACAATCAAAATTTCGATCAACATTGTAAACAATGGTTGCAACGGCCGCAGCCAGCTACGTATCTGAGCAGGAAACAATTATTCAAACCTATTTCAAGATTATTTTTTAACATCTGGACGTCTTACACATAGCGAAACTCGGAAAGGAAAACACAGAGGCTACAAACAGTAATCTGGAGATTTTTTTTAATTAACAACAATGGAAGATCGCAAATGAAAATGGTGTCGTCATACAGCCTTCAATGTTTAATGTATTCAAATCCCGACTATATAATAAAACAATAATGGACTCTTTTGGTGTTGAATATGGTTTGTTATTCACCAGAAAAATATCCATATTGACCTCGGCTTAGCCTCAGTCAATATGAATATTTTTCTGGTAAATAACAAACCATATTCAACACCAAGAGTCCATAATTGTATAGAATTTAAATTTAAATTAGGGATAAATAATTTCAAGTTTTTGAAGTTGAATAATATTTCATGATATATACAACTTTCATTTTTTGAGAAATATTTTAGGCCAAAATAAAATTATAGTTTGTTTGGAATTGCCTCCCGCCTCATTTAAATGCCTCCTGAAAAAAATTTATTGACCAAAAGTAGGAAGATTTTTTTTTATTTAATCAATTTTTTTGCCCATTACATGTATCCCAGGCATTTGCACCATACAAAAAACACTGAAATAGAGTATCAGATTTATGTAAAATTAGTTTTTTTGTTGATTGTAGGTACTTTTTTTGAAAGTCAGAAAATGTTTTTACTGTTTACTGAGATTTTTATCAAAAATTTATCTTCAATTAAAAAAAAATAATTTCCCTCCCTCCTGTGTCTGAAACCCTTCAGGTGGCAATTCCAAACAAACATTATTTTTTAAGGATGGCATTATTTGACAGAATAATAATTCAATAAAACAATTGAATAAACTTACTTTCCCAGAAGCTTGAACGGAGACCCCCTTATCTAAATTCACCCTTTCTTCTGACATTTCTTGGGAACTCTGTGCATGTTTGCGGGGTGATCGTCTGAGTGATACTTTCTTTGGTTTCTGAAAATTATTAAAAAATCAAACATTATTATTTATTAACCAGTAAACATGTGAAATTAAAGAACATCAATAACAATTAATATGCTTAAATTTGTTCAATTTACCTAAACTGAAAAGGAAAATAATTCTTTTCAAAAGTTTATTCTACTGTAATTTCAAGGAAACTCTTCTGCAATGGAGTCACAAAAAGTCATGCCAATTAGAAATATGGTAAGTGATGATGATGGAATACATGTACTTGATAAAAGTCAGGGCTTGTTAATATTTAAATCTGATTAAAAACAGATAAAATTACACAAAAGGGCCTTTTGTAAATATTTGTTAATCAGATTGGTAAATATTTGTTCGAGCTACTGAAATTAGAAGTTACAAGTGCCCAGAGGGCATGTGCTTAAAAAGAGATGTGACTAAGATTTGAAGACTGTTACTACCACCCCTTAGGTATCTTGACTCAGTCACCTGAATTATGGACCCCCCCCCCCAATAAGCAAACAGAGCATTCAAATTTTTAAAAATAAATTATATCTCCAAGTTACTGTCAATTGTTTCTATTTATCTTGCACAGAAGGACATAAGGATATGATTAATGGGGAAATTATATATTTTTGAATAAACATGTATTTTTTTTAATAAAGTATTTAAGTTTTTTATTTTTTTTGGGGGGGGGGATTTGCATTTTAGTCTTCAGACTCTGTCACCACAAGTTGAATCAGTCTGACAAAGACTACAAGTTGAATGTGTGTCACATCAAGTTAATGTTTTAGGTTGCTCATTAAATATGAAAAAAAAGGCCATACGGTAGCTAGGCTACAATGGCGTATCGTACTGTACCTTATCAAACGACAGTTCACTAACCCAAAATAAAATGTTCATGTTAAATTGTAATAAACCTAAATAGTATATTGCATATATAAATTTCAATTGTATATAAAAGTTATCCATACCAACACAGAGTCCGACTCCGATTCGCTGTCACTAACAGGAGGAAGAATGCGCCTCTTCCTTGGCGGGGCAGCAGGGACGGAACTGCCAAGATCACTCGCCTCTGGTTCCGTGCACGTGTCATCATAATGCAGGTGCAGACTCTCCTCTTGACTTTCATTTTGTTCATTTTCAGAATTGCTTAATAAGTAATCCGACATAACTATACAAGGTTAAGACATTTGGGTAAGATTTGAAATCCTCCATCGTTTATATCCGCGAGCGCCCTCTTCTGATTGGTTATCAGCATCTCTCCAAATTTGGCAGGACCACTCGAGCGTTCACCCATTGATTCGTGTTCAATAATTTTTTATTCCATAGTTTTACATATTATTTATTTGTATTTTGATATGTTGTTCAAATAGTTAAGCCTATGAAACAAAGATAACGGCTGTTATATAAAATTTAATCAATTTTTTTTTAATAAAAGAAACAAAACCAATGCTGTCCGAATGATAATGAGTCTTAATTACTCAAGACGATAGATAGATCAAGAAATCCGCGCCAACTACTGGACAAAGAAAACTTAAGAAAATACCCAGACCAGTTATTTCAAGGGAAAAAAAATTGCTTAACTTTGTGATATTGATGCAGGTAAGTAAATTACGACACAAAAACTATGTCACATGTATTATAATAGACGTGATATCAGATGGGATAAGACCGGTGGTTTAAAAGAAGTGGGGAGGGGGTTGCACCGGTCTTATTAATCCATCATTGTTTTTATGTTTTGGCAATTTTTGAGTTCTAGCCGATATTATAGATCATAGACAAATAGAAGCGACAATCATAGATCTTCTTACCCATTATAATGTAATTAAAAAAATGTGCTTTTTAAAAATAATTTGAAAGCTAAAGAAGTGCAAGTATTTTACCAATGTTCTGGACAATTAATTTTTTAGTATTTTCCAAACTATTATATTTCCATTTAATTGTATTTTCCATTTTTGGGGGGGGGGGGTGGGGGGTGGGGGTTACACCCAATAAACAGAAAAGAAAGGCCAGACTTGTTTCTCTCCATATTTAATTAGAACAAATGTAAACTTCTCATGTTTTTTAATGCCCCCTATTCAATTCTATTGTGTAATAAAAATGTGGAATACTTGAAATTATATGATATATCATCTCTGCATGGTGTCAGGAAAAACTAAAATATGCATCACCCAATTCAGTGATTAATTTACAAGTATGTAAAATGTTCATTTTAATGAAGAAGTAATTAAAGATTTAGTTTAATTTTTTTATGTACCTGTGTGAATATACTTAAAAAGATTATAGCAGTAGATCTAGTCTAAATCTTTATTGACATGTTAAAAGTTTTTTTTTTTAACTAATTAATTAAAATATCAAAATTTAAAAAAAAAAATAAATAAGGATCAAGGATTTTTTTTTGTTTCAGGGGTAGGGAGGTTTCCTCCCAATCAATAAAATCCCTTCCCCACCCCACCCCGCCAAAAGTAAGCTCATTTCCCAAATGTAAAAAACCTATTTCTTGGTTTGGGGTGGGGTTATAGGTACTGATTTATATATCAACTTCATACCTATATCTTTGCATTCCAATTTCACATGGATCTGCCTTATTGAGAGGGGACCTCCGACCACTGTTTCGCCGGGGTACTTTTATTGGGTTTTGTATATTTAGTTAAGTATATACATTAAATAACTTTGTAAATTCTGGGATGGGTCCTGACTCCCCTCTAGATCTGCACTTGTTCCAAATAAGTATATACTCTATCTAAGTGTGGCTAGCAGCCACTAGGTTACAAAGAATCTTCAATTCCTTTCATTTGCATAAAAAGAGATTTGCAATAGTTACCGGTATATAAAACATTATAAATTTGGTATCTTCACAACTAAGAAATTACAAAAGTTTAATTGTAGAAATAAAAAAAAATTTGTGTGAAATGACTACTGTTTTACAAGTTTTCCCTTTACTTCTATAGATTTTATTTTCTTAAATATATGTAAATGGAACAAGCTTGTACTTCTTACATCTTCAAAATATGATCTTATAATTAGATACAATCGATTCACTGTTGATGACATGATAATTGGTCAGAATGGAAAAGCCATTACTTATCTTGATTAAGCTTAATTGTTTAGCAGAGCTCTTTTATTACCAACAACTATGACAAAACAAACAATTTTGAACTCAACATGCTTTAAGAGTGTTGCATATAAACATGTCAAACTTATCTTTGATGAAATTTCTACCATTCACATGCATTTTAATGATCACATTTTCAGGGATAAGATGCAATAAAGATAAAAGAAAAATCTTTTCTTTGAAAGTAAACACCAGAGCTCTTAGCACAGCAGGGCGTTTTGGCACCTCAGCAGAAATGTTGACACATGCAGTGGCACTCATACATGCTTTCTCTTTTACATGCATTCTTCCCTTCTTGTATTTGATGAATCTGTATTTAGCATGTTGGTATTAATGTTTATTAAATAATTAATATTGTTGATGATATTTATATGTAGATTCCTATTTCCTACTCTGATTGAAGTCATTAATCTGTATTTATAAGCCAGTCAGACTAAGAAAATTATCTGTAAAGTAAGGGTCGGTAAAGTAATGATAATTAATTTCAAAAATAGATGCAAGTCCCAGTTTAGATTTTTTTTGTATAAAGGACGATATATAATTTTATAAATTATATATTATAAAATTGATTTAAAAGGGTAGGGTGGTTATGGCCATTTTTCAATTACATTCTTTTGATCTCCTTTAGAAGAAGAGCTCCCAGTGTTTTTTTTTTTCTTATATAATGGTACCGAAAAACGGCACCGTTCCCACTTCCAAATGCCAAAAACATCAATTTTTCCCAAGTCTGTGACTAAAAATTCCAAATTCAAATGTGAAGCAAAAGATTACGAGGACATCATATCTCTTTGTTAAATGAAATGCACTTGTGTATTTATATGTAAGTTTGTCTTTGTGCAAAACACAAGTATTTAACAAAATTTGCAAGAAGATCAAAGTCAAATATAATCCTTAATTTAAAATGTCTTGCCAATGTTTTTTTCTGAATTTGTGTATAATTGCAAGGGATTTTAAAGGACATTTAATTTAAATTTTCATTTTTTTAAAGATTTTGATAAAAATCTTAGTTAAAAGTAAATACATTTGCTGTCTTTTATATATTATGTTTAGTACCATCAAAAAATTCTTATATTTTAACATTTAACTTTAAATCATTTGATTGATTTATTTATAATATTTAAAATGTAACATCTAAAAAAAAATGTATTAAATAATGAAAAAAAAAGACACATGGTCAATAAAATTTTTTCAGGAGGGGGCATTTCAATGAGGCGGGAGGCAATTCCAATCAAACTATAATTTTTTTTTGGCCTCAAATATAATGCTGTCTTGATTTATAGAATGTTCTTTACGAATGACCTTTTTTCTGTTATTTGTGTATAATTGCAAGAATTTTTAAAGTATATTTAATTTAAATCTCTTCATTAAAGATTTTGTCTATAAAGTAAGTTTATAACTATGATGTTTCTCAAAAATCTTATATTTAAACAATTTACTTTAAATCATTTGATTGATTCATTTGTAGTATTTAAAATGTAACATCTATTATAACATGTATTACTTAACTGTTATTAAACTTTTAATTTAAAACTTTACCTTAAAAAAGAAATTATAACACATTTTCTGTTTTGTGAATGGTTTATATGATTTACATGTATTACACTATTACTATCACAGCTTGAGGTACCAATGTTTATTGTGTGTGAATGTGGTAAGCAGCAGGGAGGGTTTAACATGAAGAAGCAAAAGGATAATAAATTTTGAGATTTTACAACACTTCAATTTCTTTTTTGAAAAAAACTAATTTTACATTTGTGTCTCCCCTAAATTTCAATTTTCATTTCAACTTGATATTAGGTTTATCTGGTTAGCTGTTTTTTAAAAATGATTTCATTCATGTAACTCATAACAATGTTTTCTCTCTTATTTGAAGATAAATAATTTTCATAAAACTTAAAACAATGTAGGTGTGA